GTTTCTCGTTTATTATCCAATACATAAACTGCGACTTCCTCATTACCAGTTATTTATTGTATCACTGTAAAATAAATAGAATGTGGATAAGATAGGTACGATAAGGCCAAGATTCTTCCCGTCTGCATTTACCATTCTTGGTATTCTCATCTCCGTTAGCCATCGACATGTAAGCGTATGGTAAATTAGCGAAAAATAATCGTTACATCGGACGTATGCGCGTGCGCCGCAAGCCGGCCCTTTTTCTTCACCGGCTCACTGCATTCCCCGTAAGCGGTGTCTTAGATGTGCAGTGGGATTATAATGGACTATGTACGTTGTATACTGATGATGTGCAATTTATAATCTTGTATGTCCGTCTGTGTAGCTGTTTGTGTCACTATGTTATCACTTGTAAACGTAATTTGAATTTTAAATCTATTTCTGTGTAGGCTTTTGTTTTTATGGTATTGTTGTGAATGTGTTATGTTTTAGGATTTTCCAAGATAAAAATGGTGATTGAATAGGGTAGTGCAGTGTAGGACAAATAAAAATGTCCGTCAGTTAGACAATGAAAAAATATTAGACACATATTTTTTTTATTTTGTCGTATAAGAAAACAATCTTTTATCTTATACTATTATATAAAGCGGAAGAGTTTGTTTTTTTTTTATTTGTTTGTTTGTACGCGCTTATCTCCGTAACTACAAGTCTAATTTGAATAATTCTTTTTGTGTTAGATAGCGCATTTGTCGAGGATGGCTATAGGCTATGAAACATCACGCTACGACTAATGAGAGCTGAGCAGAGCGTGTGAAACCGCGCAGAAGTAGCTAGTACTTAGATAAAACCGAGTTAAGTTTAGGAGTGGGTCGTCGTTACGTCACGCTACCCTACAAAATGTAATAAATCGTGACGTCACACGATATTTCACATCAATATATTGTCGAAAGTATTTAGTTTTGTAAGAAAAGAAATATATAAAATAAGCTACCAGACGGACATTAAAATAAAATTTAGTATACTACCCTATTTAAGTTAAACGCATCTAATTCTTATATTATGGATTTCTTATATTATTATTATTATATATGTGCATTTAATTATTACCTACTATGAATGTAATACACAGATGAAATTATTGTCTAGGGCTGAAATAATTTAATGTTAAAAATCGATAGAAATAACTTGTTCAAAAAATTGTTACCAACGGACTATTGTAGCGATTGCTATAAATAGCCAATAGATAATAACTTGTGCGTAACGATTTATAAAGAACTAAATAAAGTGGTGCTGATATAAAAAAAAAATATCTAAAGCCTATAAAGAAATATTACATAAATAAAAAAAAGAAAACAACTCGGCGGTAGGTAACGTAATGTTATTATTATGACTTGAAAGTTTAACGGGTCGACTGCTATCTTTCTTTATAGTGGCTATGTGCGCCAGCGCAACTGATAATCTTTTAAACTCTGAGGGCCTAGTGCAAGTTTGTTTTGCGTTTAACAAGATCGTAACGTTACCGCGTTCGGCACTTTGATTGGCCGGCTCTAATTAACCAACCAATCAGCTAGTAGTAGCTGTTAAAGTAGTATTCAGAGTATAGAATATAAAACCAAACTCAATACCATTTAGTTCATTAAATACCCACTCTATACGAATGTAATGTCGCATCGCGGAGAACCTAACGGGTAACCGGGGCTCCGGCTCGGCGTGCAGGAGAAGGAACGGGGTGATTTTTAGTCAGTAAGAGTCTGACACTCCCTCCCGCCTCACCCAGGCGGGAGCAGTCATACGCTGATTTACGCCCCTTAAAAAAAAAGAGTACGGATGTAATAGGAGCTAGTGTTGCAACTCAAGAGTACGAAATTTCACAATGTCAAGGTCAATCGATCGGAATTGGATTCAAGAGTAAGCCCCCTGAGCGTCGACCGCGGAATCATTTCGATTAATATAAACGTAAACCGAAACTTGTACTACGCCCTCTGTTTGCTACACGTGATACTACTGACACTGGGTTGCTACGGTTAATCTTACGGTAGCTGTTTACTCTAAACTTGTTGTTTAATAATACAGACTGTAGTAAAGACGTCACTGGAAGTCAATGTTTAAAAATATCGCGCTTTTTATGATTATTTTATAAAATATAGCATGCCTAATTATTATGAAATGCGTTATTTCCCGAGTATAGAGATGTATGTATAAGGGGGTTTACCTAATTTTTACTTAGAATCCATTTTTTATTACGTAATGATAAATCGACTAAGTACCTATAAGACCTTTGGATATATTGGGAGTGCCCAAAAAAAGTGCTATCACTTTCGCAAAGTGGCGAATGCAAAACGTTTTTGCGACGGAGGGAATGTCTTTGTAAAATGTAAAAAGCTATAAGATGGATATTTTTATTTAATTCTTTTCCTTGATACTTTGCAGTAACAAATGTGCCCAGTGACCAATAACAGTGTATTTATTAAGATTTATTCGCAATCAGACACAACGACAAAAATACCAATAAATATTGCAGTACTTACCTACAACCTTTGCTGTGATCATTTCTTCCTTGATCATATATTTGCTGAAATGTATAACCAATTTCAAAAGGTAGGACTTACAGATAGCGAATGTAAAATAAATGATCGTGACCTCGTGATGTTTGTCTTCGGAGTCTTTTCTACTATGACAATAGTGTGCAAACACATATCTAATTACGTTTGTACCTAATTTCAAGTAAAATTTAATAGGAATATTCTTTTGATGAATGTGGAGTATTAGTGTTCTGACAGGACCTTTTTTAGGCATCATCAGGTATCCTATCTCTGACCTCTATAAAAAAAGTTTATAAGTCATCGCGGTTTATCAATGGCGCACTGTGTGAATATCATAAACGTTATGATACATTGCGCATCATGTGGCAGGGCTGCTGACCTGAACGGGCCACATAAAAGAAAAAAAAAATAAAAAAACGGGGTACGATTCACCCAGTTTATAAAAAACTATACAAATGACAAGTGGATTATACACTCCGTAAGTTGGTGTGAAGAGGTCGAGAAAATAGAACAAAAAATAGAATTTATATATTTTTTGCTCTACAAACAGTACCTACTTCTGAACGCATTCCGCGGCTCGGCGTAGTATATACAATTGTCTTTCCAAAGATTTATATCGTTCGAATTTCAAAGTGATTGAATGCCAAATGAAGATTTAAAAGAGGTTATAAAAGCGTGTCAACACTAAAGTTAAATAACAGTTAAGTAAACAAAACGTAAATCAGTAAATGAATATGTTTTGATAAACGTAAATAACGTTTTGGGCGTTAAAAAATGTTCGGTTCACCAGAAGGGATGCTTCAATCACATCTTGAAGCATGGCGTGGTTCTTTGAAGTGAGACAAAGCATTGTTTATTGGTATTGGTTGCACCACCTCAACGGAACATCAGCTCAAGAAGAATAGGTTAAAACCTAACGTATGTTCGTCATCGGCAAGCTTCGCTGGAAATACTCGGAAAACAGTGGTTTCTATTTTTCAATTCTGGAGCGCAAACATTTTTCGTCGACGCGTTTATTGTTATCATGAAGCAGCCAGATGGTGTTGGGTAAGATTTCATTTAGAGTTTGTTAGTACAATAAATAAGTAGATATAAGTAGTTAGGTAGGTATGATTCACATCAATATTAAATCATAATAATAACTTTACTTACGCCTGTTGTTCTTCAACCGTGGTAGGTAGTGGTTCCTTCATAATGTCTGCTGCTATTACTCTCACGAAGTACTTAATAAGTACATGTAAGTTAGTAATATAGATAGCATTTTTTTAAGGGGGGAAAATCATCGAATGGCTCATCCCGCCTGGGTGAGGCGGGAGGGAGTGTCAGACTCTTACTGAATAAAAACTACCCCGTTCCTACTCCTGCACTTCGAGCCGAAGCCCCGGTAACCCGTTAAGCTCTCCGTGGCAATATGGATAGCATAAGGTTGACAATTTCGGTCCCAATACTATTTTGCCTAACCCAGAGTTCGCAAACAACCAAAGAGGCCGTTGCACAATCGACTAACTACTTAAGTTTTATTTTTACAGCCGAGTATGGATTACCAAGCCAGCCGGATTACCAGCTCAGATTACACGCACCATCTTGTCTTGTCTACGAATAGATCACCTTTGTTCCACAGGCGCGGTTAGCGGGAGCCGGTTGAGATCAAACCAAGTAGGTACCAACCACCTGGAAACTAGTTTATCTATCCTAGGTTTAAAAATGAGTAAATTTGTGATAGGTACTTAATTATAAATGGTCCAGTCATTACGTGTCAAAACCAATAAAGGGCCGGTTTTTAATCGGTATAATTTTGTGTACCTAAATGTACTGATTTTGTAATTAATTAAATAAATAGGTGTTTATTTTATGAAACTTTAGGCCAGGTATGAAAATAATTAATAATTTAAAAAATGGGTGCATAAAAAACAAAAGTTACCAAGATACAAAATACATATTTACCCCATGAATTAAAAGTTTAAGGAAATATGAAATGTGTGAATTCCCAAGATAATAGATATTTAAGAAGAACATGGATATTTCCAACCGTCACTTACAGATAAAAAGACATTTTGATATATTGACATAACAGACCTTTTATTTCTATTACTCATACCTCTGAGAAGTAGACAAATATGAATAACTAAATAATAAATGAAGAATTATAATTAATTTTCGTAAAAGTATGACTGATTTCATGATTTCATTCTTTACTATATTGCATAGAGAATTAGCTCATGGTTTTTAGTGTGAAAAGAGCATATACGTGCTTAATTTAATCAATAGTACAACGAATAGGAACAATTAAAAATACAATAAGCAATGATCATACTCATTTCTCAAAAAAATAACTGTTTATGTAAACGGAAAGAATACGGATGTGACCGGCTGGCTCCAATGTGGCTCATTATATCCTGTTGCATCAATTACAGAGTATTGGGTATCGATACTTATATCGATTATTTCCAGTAATCGAAATGAATTATACGCTTACTAACTTTTCTCATTATTTTTATTATTTTTTAAATAAACAATCGTCTCTCTTGGCTGTAATACTACGAAATAAAAAAGGAAACAAATGTAGCTTAACATGAGACTGACTACAATCACTTGGACTATAAAATATCTCCACCATTCGTGCACAATATTGTCTATAGAAATCCAGAGGCCAGTGAACACAACGGTCTCTATAGTACACACTATAACCCAGAACACATGCCACACACGCACGTGCCGGAAACGTATCTTAAACTCCATCAAGCAGAATAAGTATATGAACGCGAGGAATATGTAGAACGCTCTCCTCACGGTACTCGCTTGTGGCACTATCAGGAACAATAACATCACCTGGTAGTGCGAAAACAGGATTATGATGGCAAGAAACGGGAAGAAATTTATGAAACATGCTATAGAGAGCAGACGGGCTACAAAAAACGAGTACCATCCCAAGAAGTGCACTATTGCTGCTGTTGCGTCTTGCGGTTCAAGACCTCGTATGAAGGATCTTGGTACACGTCGTGGGATGTCCGGCTCGTCTCGGACTACTTCATCGCAGTATTTCCTTCTTGGTGGTGCTGATAGCCAGGTAGGAATAGATTCCGCATTTTCCACCATTTTCTCTGCCCACAAGGCAAATGACATCGGTCTCGGAGCTAACATTACGGGCGGCGGGATTATTTCTACTTTCTCTATAGTGTAATCTGTATTTCGTCTTAAGGGCGCAACCCTATCAATTATTGTTATTGGCCTTATGTATTCGTCATCACTATTTAATTCTTGTGATCCCGAAATATCTCTTTTAGGCGGTAAATAGTCTGAGCTTGTATCTGAATCTGTAAGTTCTTCGTTGTCGAAGAACGCAGAAGACATCTCAACAGTATTTCTTGGAGAGAACTTTATTAAATCACTAGTCGTATTTCGGAATTTAGTGTTGTTTGAATTGTCTGAAATGATTGAGTCCTTTTTCCTGATCGATTCGTAAATCGTTTCTTCGTCTACTGATGTCGTTTTGTTCGCTTCTGCGTCATCAGGTTGGTCTTTATCGTTGTCATTGTCGTCTTTATCCAATAATGGATCCGAAAATTCCGTCCCCCATGGATATTTGCGTCCACATATCTTTTCTCTTTCAAATCTTCTGTACATCGTGACCGTACTAGCCATGCGGAGAGTGGATGCAACAATGCTAATAGCTTGAACTGAAACTAAAACAATAAAAATAAGTAATTGGGTAGGTAGACTTTAAACTCAAAAATAGATTAGGTACAAATATTTAAGTACCTTTATCGTAAGTCATGTCAGACCATCGAACCATCAAATCAAGGATGTTGATGATAGCATGTGGAGCGGCATGGAGGAAGGATTGCAAGAACAGGTACAGCTCTACGGGAGAGGGGGCACGAGCTATTCGAATGGCTTCTTTTGTTCGTTCCTCGTCATCACTGCGAGATGCACTGACGGCTTCCACCCACCAGAATATTAGGTAGCAGTATCTGTAAACATCATTTAGTACACAGATAACACAATATTACAGCACCTTATAAAGTGGATAAGGATAAGGATTCAACCTGGTGTATTTGCCGGCTTGCAACTAATGAATAGGGTTGATGACAGGGTATGAAAATTAAAAATGTAATTAGTCCGTCAGTTAGGTAATGAAAAAATATTAGCCATGTATTTTTTTATTTAGTTGTATGATAAAATGATACTTAGATGTTACGAATCAAAGTTTAGAAGTGGAGACTAAAACGTCATTTCTACGTATAAAGTGTACATAGAAGTGACGTCACGCGTCATTTCGAATCAATATATCTTGGAAACTATTCGTTTCCGTAAAAAAATAAAAAATACGTGTCTAACGGTTTTAAATAATCTACCAGACGGACATTAAAATAAAAATTATACATCTACCCTATTGATTATTGATTGAATGAAATAGCTCATGTTTTTTTTTAAGGGGAGAAAATCATCGAATGACTTCTACCGCCTGGGTGAGGCGTGAGGGAGTGTTATACTCTTACTGACTAAAAACCACCCCGTTCCTTCTCCTGCGCTTCGAGCCGGAGCCCCGGTAACCCGCTAGGTTCTCCGCGACAAATAGTTCATGTAAGAAGTTGTTCTTCGAGTCCATATACCCGAAACAAAACAAAAGTTGTAATCCTACTTACTTGCTTCAAATTACAATTTAATACTCTATCGTAAACATTTGTTTAAGTAAAAACATTTTTACATTTTACGACCACTCATTAACACCGACTTTGGACAATGTGTCAAAGAATCTGTAACAACTAACAACCTAATCGTTTAACACTCTTCTGTAATGATTATGGTACTTAAGTATTACCGTTCTTACCCAGTTACTAGCTCATGAAGGTAGGTAATTATCTATTACACTTGACACAATATTAGACTCGTTGGTTACAATCATCTGCATCTACCTAATAATCGCAAAGGACAATACACCCTCTTGAGTGATTGACAGGTTAACTTACTCTAGTTGTAGTTGTCAATTAGGTAATGAATTAACGGAACGAAAGAAATAAATTCCTAAAATTCCTGTGTTGTTTGACTAGTCCTCCTGGAAGTTGGTTAACGATTTTTAGCTTGTCGAGTGTTCTGAATTCTCAAATACCTGGGTAGGCACCACAGACATATTAATTACTAATAGTATGCTAAGCACGGAGTTTGAGATTGAGACAATAATAAGAAGGTCCATCAACATCAACTACAACGCACCGCATCATCGCTTATCACCAGGCGAGAATGTGGCCAAACGTCGAACCATCACATATCTTATATCTATCACTATTATATAAAGCGGAAGAGTTTGTTTGTTTGTTTATTTGAACGCGCTAATCTCCGTAACTACAAGTCTGATTTGAATAATTATTTTTGTGTTGGATAGTGCATTTATCGAGGATGGCTAAAGGCTACTAAAACATCACGCTACGACCAATAGGAGCTGAGCAGAGCGTGTGAAACCGCGCGGAAATAGCTAGTAAAAAAATATGACTACAAACCTTCCAATTGCAGCAATGGGAAAGAAGATTGCGTTAACAATCTGTAAGAACAGCCATTTTATGTCGCTCTTCTCTATAGTCACCGAATATGCTGTCAAATCAGGCCGGAAACCAGGCGGTGGTGACGCCAACGTGAACACCAGTGCAATCAGTGATGGTAGTCCTATGAGGATTGTGCAAAATACTCCCATTCTGTAGACAAAAGAAACGAATTATTTAAATTAGAGAAACTATGTTTACAAATTCTTCGCGCCATTTGCATTTTAGAATTAAGATGTGTAGGGAAATGCAAGGTGGTACCTGAGTAGGTATGTATGTTTTCTTATCTTGTTCACTGAATATAAACAATAAACATTACGCGTTCTATTTCCAAAGGGATAAGTAAAGCTTGTAAAGGTGTCTGTTACGGTTAGCGACTTAGGGGCCCATATAGGCTGAACATGAGTACTAATGACCAGATCACCGCACCGAACGCTGCCCAAGATATGTGAGGAACGCACGAAATACAGGTGCAAAAATCGCTAATTGTAGCCAATAGGTTACATTACTGACTTACCCTTCACTTCCATTTAAAAAATGTTCGACTATGATTGTAAAATCATAACAAATTAGGACTATGTAGATGATGAGGCCGCCGCAGGAGGGCAGCACTCGATGCAACAGAAGTGCTTGCCATGCCGGCAACTTCAACCCAAGCAACTCTCCCGAAACTTCTTTGTCCAATTCACAGGTCACCATTTTATTTATCTTTCACTCATCATAACTTTTATCATAATAAAACACTTCACTATCTGAGATCATGATGACACTACCCGGACACAATATTATTTCATAGCTAAAACAAAGGTTTTAGCAAAGACACATAAAAATAAAAACTGTTTTGCTCGAAACAATTGTACCTACATAAAGAAAATGTGTTGTATTCGTATTCCCCACGCCCATTGATAAAGATAAGATAACAGGGCTGAGTCAAATATGTAGATAACTTCTATGACATACTTCGTTTATTAACTGGTTGGTGCAACCAGGTATCTATGTAAGTATGTACCTATATTTGCGTTTTTATAGCAAACAGTAAGCAATTTATACCAAGAGTCCATCGTCTGTTTAGGTGGGTGGGTAGGTACTTAAGTACTACACAAATAACAGACTTTATAATATTCATGAAAATTTACTTCGAAATACATGATGCAGGTACCCACATATACGCACCTATAACTGCTTATGCAAGAGTGCCCTTGAAACTACTTCTAGTATGGATTAATTTCTAAAATCTGAATGTTGTGAGGGCGTATTAGTTCCTGTTACTGTTTCATGGAGCTGAACTAGTAACGTAACGTATCCCGTCCTCCGTATGCGTATCAAGAGTAGGTATTTAATATTTAGGAGAATTGAAAATACCAGTCTTCTACACCATTTTAAGTATTTTCATAATTAAAAATTAATCTAAAAGAATTAAGGTTCGTATCGAGCCTCATAGTCATAAATAACCTATGAATACGACCAGGTATATCATGTGTAGCCATTGTAAGTAGCTACCTAGTAACGTAGGTAAAGTTAACAAAAATTTAGTAGGTGTTTGTCTTATTTGGTGTACATAATCATAGCATTTAATTTTACTGTAAGGCAAAAACAACAAGAAGAGCAGTGATGTTTGGAATTAAACTAAACAAGTACCTACAAAAAAACAAGCTGTATAATGTCATTTATGACATTGACAGATTGATTGACGTTTGTAGTTTTTACGTTTGTTTAGGTTAGATTGATAGAAATTTTCTAAAGTGGAATTTATCGGAGATTAAATTCTCTAACAGTATAAGGTCGTTTATATTCCATAAATAGATTGTAATTGGCATTGAAAGACAAAATGTTGAGGAAAATTTTCTCAAGAACACTGAGTCCTAGGAGTTCATTAGTGCGGTGTGTTAATACTGTTGATATCAATAGGCAAATACACTGTGGAGTTTGTTTAAGGATCCCTAGGTATACATCCAAACCAAACAGTACCTCACCAGCTTTAGCTACCAAGTATCAAGTGATTACAGAAGAAAATACCGTAGTCATTGAGAACACTGCAGAGGAAAATCCAACTAAAAACAGATATCCTTTACTCAGTGATGAGTTTGATGGTATCAATCTAGAGCGTAAGTCATCTACTACTAAAGTTATGTGTGATACAAAAGAGACAACTATGTATGAACCTAATAAATATTAAACTCTTTCTAGGAGGTATAAATGGTGTTTTTGAAATCGAAGACCTTGTAGAACTATTGCAAAGAGAAAACTGCAAGGATATATTTGTAGCTGCCGTCACTAAAGACATCCGCTATGTGGACTACATCTGTATAGTCAGTGGAAGGAATAAGAGACATATTTTAGGTATAGCTGAATTTGTTCGGAAAGTGTATAAAAAGAAATGTTTTAAATCAGACTATATTCCTAGGATAGAGGGCAAAGAATCTGATGAATGGATGGCATTAGACTTAGGTGAGTTCCTGTATTTAACCCTTATTTACCTTATTTCCAATGTATAGATACTACTTTCGTATGAATAAATATAGGGGATGATTTTCAACAGGTTAAACACTATAGCCCTAAATTATTTCAACTGTAAAGTCTACAGCTAGTTCATCACTATACATGGGCAACTTCTGATGAAATAATTAAACTTGCAGTGAAAGATCTTTTCAATTTCCATCGGCTAAGAGAGCTTGTAGACTAATCACCTTCTGGCCACACTTAGCCATGTTCCAAATAGATGTCAAACTGGTTATCTATATTGTGTATGAATGTTTCATTATTTTCAGGTAACATTGCATTACATGTCTTCACTGACAAGGCTAGAAAAGCTTATGACTTGGAGACTTTATGGTCTGTTGGGGCAGAATATGATGACAAGATGAACAAGAACAGCGAAGTTGTGGACATATTCGAGAACTATAGTGATTATTTGAAAGATCTTAAACCACTGGGATCATAATACTGTAATTTACATACACTGTATTGCCTCACTAGGACTGAATTAAAAACCCTTTAAAAGTCTCATATAAAATGTTTATTTCTGCTTAATTACATTAAAGATACATATATGGATTGTATAATTCAATCACAATTCACAATCTAAATAATCATGAAACATTGAATTCAATAATTTCATATCAATTAAATAAAAACAATTATCCACATTATTTCCATTGCTATAAGAACATTTATTATCCATTTCAATCATTGTTGTAGGTTATCATATGTCTGTCTATAAAGATACTAATATAATTTGATATATAAAATAACAATTTGGCATAATTTATAACTAGCTCAGAATTTTAAATGCAGTAATGACAATGTAAAATTATACAAAAGAACAGCGGTTGACTAATACATTCATACCACAATCACAAGATCCTTAGTTCAGTCAAAATGCAGTTGCACATACTAGTACACCTAAGTAGTATACACTAAGTAGCATAGTTTTGAAAGCAACCTAACTTTAGTGCTTTATGAGTTAAACCTAACTATGTATAAGGATAAAATAGTATTGGAAGCCAATCAGTAATACAGACTGTAACATATTTTGTGTAGCAAATTAGCATATTATTATAATTCATAAAAAAAAATGTTTGGACCACCAACAAGTCTTTCATTTTAGTGACTACATAATTATTAAATTTATGAGCATACAAAACTTATTGCACTGCCATTATAAAGCATTTATGCACATACCAAAATTAATTACATTTTTATATTATTCAGTGTAATCTTTATGACTTATAAGAGTTATGTTATAAAACTGGTATAAAATACCCCATACTATTGACTACCTTCTGCCTAACGATGCATCATCAAAATAAATGGAAATTTTACATTTGTCATTTTATTAAAATCAAAATGTCAAATAAAACCTATAATAATCACAATTGATGATACATCATCAAGCCTTTATTATCAAGGCAATAGTTGGCAGTTGATGTCAAGTATTAATTAATACTTAAATATTGACATATTGTAACTTAATGTTGGATAGTAAATTAACATTTGTCGGGTGCAAAACTTCTAAATACAATACATTCTTATAAAATACACAAATATTATCTGTTAATTTGTGATTCATTTTGGATCTCAATTTTGGCTCATGACTAATCAATTATGACAATATGGCTACACTTCGCCTCACGCCAGCACCTGAATTGACATTGTCTAAGCTTGACCATTTCTTAATGCCATTTTTCACCACTTCAGCAGCTATTTTATCTTCCATCACCCTAGACATTGCCTCTAACTTTTGTGCTCTCTCTTTACTCAAAGGTTCACTGGGGAATGCCAAATCATTGGCTTCAGCAAGTGTACGAAGATCAAAATAGTATTTAGCATATACACTAGATGGTACATTGATATTAAACTGCAACATTTCCAAAAATTGCCTCTCTAGCTCATTCATATCCTCCACGGTGATATCTTTTAAGATCTGGCAGTAGTCCACATTCCACACAGCTTGGTCATCCCACACTTTACTTGCTAATAAGATAGCTCCCAACACTATTCTCTTCCAATTAGATGGAGCAATGTCTAGCTCAGCACATATTAGAAGGCGCTCCAAGTACACCAAAGTGATAATAGCACATTCAGCGGTTAGCTGTGCAGCATTGAACAGTGTTCTTACAAACTTGTATATTTGTTTGTGCTCAGGGTTATATTTGTCATAATCATCACTTACTCCTTCTTTACTAAGAGGGTGCAGTTTCTCATCAAATATGTCTAACCTGCGCTCTGATGTTCTGTTCTTTATATGATAGTAAATAGCAAGGGCTACACACTTGACTGTGTTCTTCAGGTTAGGCTGAGATACTGTACTATCATCTAAATAAATAGTTGAACAGGAACTGCTTTTTTTGAGCTTATTATCAGCGATTTGATGTTGACTGCGTTTTCTGGTCATTCCATTTTCTATAGATGCTTTGGAGCGTTCCATAAAAATGGTTCCAGCGATGGGATCTTGAGAAGGGTCGATGTCGCCATCATCAGGCTCTCTCTCACTGATGTGCTGAATATTATTGGAGCTTACTTCACCTTCTGGAAGATAGTCTTCTAGCTTGACGATGTCCTTTCTGATCGGTGACGGACTGCGGTAACAACAGCAACTGTTTTGGTTACCCATTTTGTATCACATACAACTGTATTAAAGATTAATTGTTATCATTCTACAAGCACTGCCTCACCTCTAGACATGCGTAAATAGTGTGCCGATACATAAGAATGACATAAAAGGTCCATAGTATCTGAAACAAAAGGTGCTACATGAATATTCTATTAGCTATTATCAACATTACCATTCAATAAAAATAGATTTCTAAGGACAGTGTAATATATCATTGTCGTACCCTAACATCTTCGGTTCAATATATTATCACACATTTCACTAGAACTAGGAGCAACCCCGAGAAGATTTCATACTTTTGACAGTAGAGAATGCACAGACAGAACCACAGAACAATAAAACATAAAATGCACTACATATCAGTAAAAAGCAGGTCAACCTTGATTATTAACCATAATCAAAAATGATTTCTTAATTTTATTTTATAAATAAAATGTGATATACTTATGGTATTACTGAACAGAGAAACAAGAAAACTATGTATATTTTGTAAAAATAAATAACACTGCAAACGATGCATCACATGATTATCAATTTAGTAGGGCAAGCAATAATTATTTTTTAAAAATCAGATTAGATCCTATAACGCGAACTCATAGTAATTATTAACTGTAATTTAAAACATCAAGGAAATAAACGCATATTTCATATTTGTGATTTATATATGGATTTTTTATAAGCAACTTAAGTTAGTTTCAATGGGAAATATTTTTAATTTGTAATGTAGGAATAATCTAATTATTGGAGACTTCAATTGTTGTAAATCCAGTTTGATTACATATTTTTATCATTTAATTTTTTTTTCGATTATTTCGGTATCTTTAAGTTATCGAGAATTTCAGTATAATTTTTACTTATGGCAACCAAAGAGTATAGCGAATGTATAGCAACACTAAAACTAGAAAATATGGCGGGCGGCCATTATTTCGCTTCTGTTTCTACTCGGAGAGCACGCTGAAAAGTGTTTTGACGACAGTTCTGTTAAAAATTATTTCATTACCGGTATTAATACGTTAGACTGTGTGAATAATTGTTGAATCACAGAGAATTTTACTTATTGCTTGTGTTTTTGTGCACATTTTAGGCTACAATGCGTCGTAAAAGTGAGCGTACCGCAAGTAAAAAAGGGAAGGCTTCCCCAGAAAAGAAAATTGAAAAAGTTAAACGTACAAGAACCAGCAGACGTAGAAAGCAATCTTCGTCTTCAGAAAACGAATCTGCTGATGATGGAAGCCCAGTGAGAGAAGTTGAGAGCGTCAGTGAAGCTGAAAAGAAGCCTCCATCAACACCCGCTAAAGAGGATAGCCCTGAAGAGGCTCAAGATCAGGTATGGCGTGTTAAAACTACTGAGGCCTCTGGTGATATAAAAAAGCTAAAAATTTGTTTAACGCGTCCACCGTCCACACCTGAAAGAGTCGATAGATCTCCTCGCAGTAAAAGAAAGCATTCACGAGCGACAAGCTCCAGTGATACACCCAGCGTGGAGGGCGTTGAAGAAAAAAAGAAGTCGAAACATCGTTCTAAACGTGCTCTTCGAGGTTCAAAGGATGATATAGATAAAAATAATGATAGTCAGGGAGATGAGCCTGATCAGGAATCCGGACAGCAAGATCAAGATAAATCTAGTGATGAGGTAACTCAAAGTGAAACTATTGAAGATGTTGAAACACCAGTGTCCACAACTAATGAAGAAATAAAGGTAGATGAAGTGAAAAACTCATCACAAAGCAGCGAAGATAAACCTGAAAGTAGAGAAAATACCACATGTGAGCAAGAGGACACAGAAAAACCTTCTGATGCTGATACAACTGTTGTTTCACCTAAAAATGAAACAAGAGTTGCATCACCATCAGTTGAAGTAAATCCTGAACCAAATTTAGACAACCAAGAAGATCAACCATCTAATAGTACTGAAGACAAGAGACAAGAGGATAATAATTTAGTTGAGAAAGAAAGCCCTAGAAGGACAAGAAGTGAGTCAGTTGACAAATCAGAGGTCCTAGAATTACATGCAGATGATAGTAAGTGTGAATCTTCAGATAATGAGGCAAGCCAGTCTAAAACTGAAATTGAACAAGGATCAGATAAGAAGGATGAAATTGAAAAAGATAAAGAAAATGTGATTCAGGAACAGAAACCTATTGAATCCCAAGAAGAGAAAGCTATTGTACCTGAAAATGAAGAGAAACCTACTGTGCCCGAAAATGATGAGAAACCTACAATGCCTGAAAATGATGAGAAACCTACAATGCCCGAAAATGAAGAGAGATTTACTATGCCCAAAAATGAAGAGATACCATCCGTGTCCCAAGATGAGGAGAAACCAGCATCTGAAGACCCAAAGGTAAGTATAGTAAATGAAGAAAATATTAGTAAAGAAACTGAGAAAGTTGAATCTGATAGCAAAGAAGCTATTAATGAAACTGATGTTGTAGAGAGTTCTGAGAAGGTAAATAAAGAAAAACAAGAAAAGACAATATCAAATGATACAGATATTCAACCTATGGAGACGGAGACAGCTAAAGTTGAACCTGAACAAACACCACACCAGCCCAAAGAGTTGCAGCGCTCAGATTCTGTGAAGTCTACTAAAGAGGAACCTGTTGCCAATGGTCAATCTGCTCCAGCTGTAGTGGGCAGGAAAAGGAGATGGGGATCAAGGAGTTCTAAACTCACAACCCAGAAATCAATAACAATTTCAACTGATGTATTAAGAGACATTATACCTGATGTGAAACCCGTTGAGTTTGATGAAGTTATAGAAGAGAAGAAACACAGAAGAATAGAGACTCAGGAAAGAATTGAGAGACCAGTGCTTCCAAAAATTATTATTGATAATACTGACAATGTGGAATTGAAAAAGGAATCTGAGGAAGAACAAGATCCTCACACTCCAAAGCCAAGAGATTTAGCTTCCAATAGAAAAATATCAATAATTAAGGATAATGATAGTATAATAGCAAGACCACCGAGTCCACCCAGAAATAAACAGTCATGTATTTTGTATATCACAAATTTGGTGAGACCATTTACACTACCACAGTTGAAGAATTTGCTACAAAGGACAGGAAGAATTGTAGAAAATGGATTTTGGATAGATAGAATTAAATCAAAATGCTTTGTGGAATATGAGACTGAAGAGTAAGTACCTATATATTTTATTATTTACTCCCTATACTCACATATTGTAATTTTACCATTTGAACAGAAATTAGACTTAATACTAATAATAAGTTTTAATTTGAAGAATCTTGCAATAACTTATAGCAATAAACTTATTATTTTCCAGCCAAGCTGTGGAGACAAGGCATGCCTTGCATGGTGTTACTTGGCCAGTCTCAAATCCAAAAACGCTTCAAGTGGACTTTTCCACACAAGAGGCCTTTGAGAAAGCTAAATCTAATGAAGAAACTGATGCTACACCAGTGTCAACAATTCCTGGAACTGTTGAGGATTGGCTTCGGGAGCAGGATATGAAGAGAGATCGAGGGGATTTGGTAAGATAGTCTTTACATCTTGATTATCCTTTAAATATATATCTTACTTAAATTATCATCATCAGCCTTTTATAATGGTCCCAATTTTGAGCAGAGGACATCCCAAGGATAAGAAATGAATATTAATTACATCTAAATGTGGTCATTGTTTGGTCAATGTTGCATGGTGATTATTCCAGCAAAGCATGGTGATTATTCCAGCAAAGCATGGTGATTTTTTCAACAATGGGTCAACAATTAATAACTTGTTGCTATAAAAATGTCTTTATCTATTTCAAAGCCAAATTCTTAGAATAATTACTATTGATTACCACATAATGGTTTTTGGGAATGTATGTAAAATTATGGGTAACTTGATTTGAACCCATGCCATAGAGAAAATCCCACATAAAAGATTTCTAACTGGCATAATAAAAGAATGTGTGTTAATGATAACAATTATGTTAATGGTTTATGATCATTATTATAATTTGAGGTCTCATTTCTTAATTAACTTATTTTGTAATACATTGATTTTCAGGACAAACCATGGGAAAGGAAAGCAGCTACTCGAGAATGGGATCTGGGAAAGAATGAAAAAGACAAAGATAATAAAGATAATAAGTCAAAGCGTGAAGAAAGGCCGGCTGATAAGAGAAGACATCGCTCCCCAGAGAAAAGCCCTGAGCCTGGTAATTATGAACTTTCTAAATATAGACACCTTAATTCTATTTAAACACTGTTGTTTGTAGGCGCGACATATAAGGCCTAGTTCTAACGATGTAAAACCCTGGACTTGTGCTCTGTAGCCTGTACCTCCTTAGTAATGAATATCATTACTAAACATGCCATTATAATAATATATGTAAATAATATTGTAGTTAAAAACATATTTCAATCTACAATCTATAATTGTAGTAACTTAATTATGCACTTGTCAATCAGGTTAAAATTAGTCATGGTAAATTAAATTGATTAATCTGACAATGTAATGGTATGTTGAATTTGCAACCATACCTAATTGGAATCACTTAGGATTTATACATGCATATTTAAAATAGGAACTGAGTGCATGGTTGGTGCGGTGGCTGGGCAACCGGCTGCTGGGCAATGTGTGGTGCTTATTAATCCCACATGGAGCAAATCTCTATGTGATCCTCAAATTGTTGTTTCGAGTCTGGGTATCACGTGTATGTGAACTTGTATGTTTGTAAACGCACCCACGACAACAGAAAATCCTAGTGTGCGGCAACGTTTTATATTTCACTAAAAAAGCAACTGATTTTGTATTGTATAACATACATAACCTTCGCCTGTCTCCCATGGAGGTTAGACAGACTATGGAACGCCAATTGCTATAATACTTACTGCATTGTATAACTGTTATACAAATACACAAACCTTAACTATTTACACTTTAATACAATGGAATCACCCCTTATAATTTTTAGAGCATCTGTAACTTAAGTACAAACGGCTACGAATCAAGCTATGCGAAATCAGTATAAGTTAATCGTCAAAAGTGCGAAACGATCATACAAAGCAGGATCATGATATACTGGCTATGTAGACTTCAATGTGTAGTCGAGTGTACATGTTTTTTGGTAGATGATACATTAAACGCTATGGGTGTCACCGGTGACCGACATTAGCTGAGGATTTGTCTTCAACATTTTTCTATTGGCGATCAAACTTATCGTGGCTATTGTGTTATATTATAAGGTTATGTGACTGACATATTTATTATTTTTATATTACAGCAAGGAAATTCAAGAAGAAAGAAGAAGAAGCACCCGCTAAGCTGTTGGATGACCTATTTAGAAAGACTAAAACAACTCCATGCATATACTGGTTGCCGCTCTCAGCTGAAACGGTAAATTAAAGTAAAAACCATTTTTAACAAAATTATTATCTTATTCATTTTGGCTTTTAAAATACCACTATTAGTTTTATTATGTTATCATGTTCATGCATGCCCATCGAAAACAATTAGTTGAATAAAACATTTATTTGGTTCCAACTTTATGAAATTTTTACAGCCCTAGAGAGGAAATTTTATCGTAATTCTTAAGTTTTATTGTGCATATTACTAATTGGTTATTATGTTTTACGCAGATAGCAATAAAGGAAGAACAGCGGCGCCAGCACATGGCGGAGCACGAACGAAGGCTGCAGGAGCTGCGCCGAACGCACCGCCGTCACTAGCATGGTCCGTCTCATACACCCACTCCATCATTACATCTTACACTCGCACCATTATGTGACCTACATGCACATTACACATGAATACGTACCTACGTGTACTGCCACTTATACATACACTTACACATATACACATAACACTCATACATCACACATTCACACACAATTTCATAACTCATACTCATCATTCTAATATTTTTGTCGAAAAGTCGACATTCCTTTTCAGGCAGTATACTGTCTTCAGTGACAGTAATTTAATTTTATGTTTATTTGAAGAATAATTTTGTTATATGATAGTCATATTACAATTTAGGTTTAAGGGCGACATATTCAAGATAATCTTGGCAGGATTTCTGGGACGTGTACACTATGAATTGATTTTATACAAAATGTTATAGAAAGGCACGCTTGGAGGAAAGCCTATGATTTAATTCGTCGTCGGCGTAATGCAGTCACTTGATCAAAACGAGCAGGGGACGTCCGCTGTGGGAAACAGATGCACTACGATTGACATCATTCCACTTGACATTGCGTCGATGTGCGCCTTTCGGCTAAGAATTGTACCGCTGGCCGATTGGTGGGTACTTGCGAAATTATCTGTATGTTGACAACGTCACTACAATCAACGGAATCAACAAAACAGACTTGCAGTACAAAATTTGCTGTAGTCTGACAGATGGAGCAATCGAGACCAATTTGATTATTTTGGTGAAAGTATCACGATTTTGAGTGAGAGAGCAGAGAACAGGAGTAATGAATTTAAATAAATAACAGAGGATCAGCTGATACATACGCAAACATTGAAGGAAATGAAATAAAAATATGTGAATTATGTTGAAACAACTGATTTGGAAGTGTAGCCAGCGCCATCATCTGATAGATAGACAAGTAGCGCAAATTAATTTTGCGAGGTAGTCAGGTTATCGTCGTAATATTGATATGTTTTGTCTGAAGTATATTCGGTTCATTTGATGTTGAATAAAAGTTTCTCAATTAATTTTCTAGTTTTATTTAAATACTTACAAATTTAAATACATTACCCTAATCTTTCCCTGTGTATTCTAGGTTTTTAAAACTGGACACCATAGAAATATAAATCTATTGGTTCACCATTAGAGCGTTAGTCGAGTCAAAAGTCTGGGTTCGATTCCCGAGTCCGGCAAATTATTATTGGGCATTTAAAATGTCAAAAAATTCTTAGTAATGTCTAAATTACAAAAGCATTAGAGACGTATTTTTTTATTTTCTCGTATTATGTTGCAATACTTAGATTAAATTGAGTTAAGTTTAGGAGTGGGAGGTCGTTACATCATAACGTGCTACAAAATGTAACACGCTTTGACGTCACACGATATTTCAAATTAATGTATCGTCGAAAGTATTTAATTTTGTGAGAAAAGAAAAAATACGCGTCAAGTTTTCAATTAATGTACCTGACGGACATTAAAAGAAAATTTAGGAAACTACCCTATTATGATACTTTACCGCCAAACTTAAGTTGAAGTAAAGAAAAGTAATTGTTATTTCATAACGGACGAGTTTTTGTATGTATCGTTTATTTTATGTCTCGACAATAATACACAGTCATAATATGGTGAATAGAAAGATATCGGTTCTCAAAGATTATTACAAGATCTATTTGATATATTTGATTAGCTTATCTGTACGTACTGCTCCCATACCTACATATATTACAATAAATACCGAGTAGGTATTAATAATTTAAAATTATAAGCAAGCTAATCGACCTATTAAAACAATATCTTACAATTTTTGCCCGTAATCTCGCCTATCAGCAGATACTTTATCAAGAGGATAAGAATTATAATTTCAAATGATAATCTTGAGACAGTTGTGTTGGCGATTACAAACGCCAACCACTAAATACAGGAGGAGCAGAATCCGTAATGGTAAGTTGATTCTTTTTTCAACCGCATTGGTATGATATCTTGATACCTAGTAGGTGCAATTTTTCTTAAAACTATAAATATTAGAAGCATCTTCAATCTACAAGCATTCGACGAAATTGATTAATTAATTAATGTAGATGATGTGAAAGAGGTATGGCAGAATCATGTCATTAGGCTAATCCCAATCGGAGACAGACGTGACGATATACATGAACAGTGGGCAGCAGGTGAATCTACTCTTCTGTCTTCTGTATTTATTAGATTTTCAACTCTATAGTCTATAGGTACATATGAAAGTGAAAACTACATTGGATATTTTTTTAAAAGAATGCTTGGGTCTTGAGACCGAGCTAGTAGATACTAGTGATACCGAAGCTGAAAATATGGTTTTGGGAATTTTTGTTTGTTTAATTGTTTTTTTTTCTTTAACTCGTCGAGTACCGGTTTTATAGACACAATTAAAGAACAATAGGTCGCGGTCACCGGTGACCGCTTGGTGTTTGACAGTTTAAAAAAACGTTGCTCCACACTAGCTCTCCTGTGTCGTGGGTGCGTTAACAAACATAAAAGTTCACATACACATGACACCCATACCCGAAACAACAATTTGTGGATTTCCGCACGGAACACACAACGTGGTGTTCCGTGCGGGAATCGAACCTGCGACACGTTGCACGGCAGCCGGTTGCCCAGCCATCGCACCAACCGTGCAGTGTTTGTATATGTTACCGGCCAAGCCCGATTTCAGGACAAACCGAAATATGATACCGGAATCCGGACTACTAGGATCCTCTACTCATAACTAGGTTTTAAAACATCAAACCATTTATCGTTTACCTATCTAATTAATCTATAGATATATAATATAATAATAATAATTATTATTGCGTACAAACGTCTGAAAATGAATTTTCTTCCAGATTTTAGAACAAACAAATAATAAACCATACTTATACCTAAATCAAATCCCCAATTTCAAAAAGGTCGGCTTCGCACCTACCTACTTCTCTGGTGGCGCGGGTGTTTATGGGCGGCGATGATTGCTTACCATCAGATGATCTGTCTGCTCGTTTGCAGCCCTTATCGCATAAATAAAAATAACTTCAGTAGACCGACATAATTATATTTACAATTTTTAGGGTTCCCTACCAAAGGGGCAAATAAATCCGGGACTACTAAGACTGATTCTAAGCCTACGTCCATCCGCCTGTTTGTAACAAGGCTGTATTCTTTGAACCGTGCTAGTCAAACAGTTGAAATATTCATAATTTAAATACAGCAGTTACGACTAAAAAAAACCAATAAACTCTGTACATTTTAAGGGGCGTCCATCGTCCATAGCCATACAGCCAACGTGACTATGCATTTTTATACATAGATAAAGTTTCATGCGATTTGCACTTGGCGGCATTTTTTATGTTTAAAATGTCCAAAAGTGAATTTTGGCCGACCCAAACATCGTTATGTTCTTTATTGGGCTTAGGTACATAATTTAGATAGGAGTGGAGTAATAAATAATTCTGACTTTATTTTATAAAAGGCGCGGTTGATGTGGTACGTGCTGGCGGCGGTAGTGGCGTGTGCCACAGCACAACAGAACTTCACCCTTGAAGAGTTTGTGACGGGGCAGTTCACTCAAAGAGGATTTACCGGCCGATGGATTTCAGGTACCTACTTTTTATTAAGAGCAGAAATTCATCCAATGACCCCCTGGGTGAAGTAAGAGGGATTGTCAGACTCACAATCGTTTGTTCAATTCGAATTGTGTCAATGGTACACCATTAACTTACTATAGGTAGGTACATAGTTAGTTTAAAGAGTTAGATAGGTATATATGTGTGTGTGTGTGTGTCATCATTTTATTATACATCAAAATAAAAAAATACGTGTCTAATATTTTTTCATTACCTAACTGACGGGCTAATTAGATATTTAATTTTATTCCCTGTCATCATCCCTATTTTATATCTTTTCGTTTTCAGATACTCGGTTCACATACACCTTGCCGGAACAACCCACAATCTTTCAGTATGATTGCACTACAGATACGAGCTCAGAACTCGTTTCAGGAAGTCTTATGGTAAGTTGTCTGAACCAGGGTCCGGCTTAGGTATGAACTTGTGGGGCCCTGCTATCTAAAACACTGTAGCTACTGTGGGCCCACTTAATTTTCTTATTTTTGATAAATTTCATTTAAGCTACCTTAGAGAAACTATACTAGATATAATTTAATCAATTTGATGAATATTGACGCATTTTTATTTTATAAAATTGATTGTGATGATTGTGATGATTGTGATTAATAGAGATGAGAATTATTTAAGATACAAGTATCTGAAATACAGATACAAGATACAAAATACGTATTTCGATCTACTTTGTATTGAGTATTTTGTTCATCACTGGTGATTAATAAGGCAATAATTACAATCAAGGGCCTAGTTTCTTTCTAGTGTTGAGGTGAAGTGGGGAGTGGTGACGCCTTATTGTAGATTCTATGTAAATCTCCAAAAGTTCTTAAATAATGTTAATTGATTGGTATATATTTAATCTAATTACCTATAGGTATTAATATACCTATCAGCATATGTATCGCACTTAAGTTCCTAAATTTACATAATAATCTTGAATGCTTCAGGAACAACTGGAAACCGACAATCCTATCCTGTCACCTGACGAGAATTATATTTTAGCTTCGCAGGATGTTCAGAGGGTAAGTTTGGCAACATTATTATTTACTATAGGCATTAACATCAAGACCCCGTGACAGTCTCCCTGGACTATGAGCCTCCATTGCGTTAGAGGTTCATCACATTAATAGGTATATTCATGCTTGATAGGCAAGCTGGAGAACACAGCTTACAGACCAAGTTCAGCTTCATCAAAGAACGCTGCGGACATAACGTCTGTTAAATGTGCAGTCCCTTAATCAGGGGGCTTACTCTTGAATCCAATTCCGATTGATCGATTTTGGCATTGTGAAATTTCGTACTCTTGAGTTGCAACACTAGCGACCATTGCATCCGTATCGCGTGGATATTTAATGCTCTAAATGATATTGAGTTTGGCTTTATATTCTGTACTCTGAATGCTATCTTAACAGCTAAGAAAGGGGTTGTATAGTTTTGACATTGAATAATTATTGATATTTTTTGGATTGAAATTGCATTGACATTGAGATTGGTTTCAAGAGTAAGCATCCTGGTCTTACGACACAAGAAGGGTAGTGAGAAATACAAACGTATTCTACCCTGCTGTCACCGGTTTATTATATCATTATGCCAAATTTACATATTTAACCTAATAACACAAGTACACAATACATTACTACAAAATATAATATATCATTTAGATAAGTATCTGCTATATTGCGTGTGCATTCTTCAAGTTCATAACAATAAATTAGATTAACCACTTATCTTTACTGTCCGAATGTAAAACTATACTGATAAACATAATTATCTATAGATAGTGAAATCGTAATCTTCCCAAATACCTACTTACTTTAATTAAGAATGTCGGTATATAGGTATTAATTAAATATTAATTGTATTGGCTGCCTCATTGGCCGAGCGGTCGCAAGTCCGTCTGCCGGGCAAGGGGTCTCGGGTTCGATTGCCAGGTCAGGTAGGTTCTTTTAAATCTAAGTAGTAGCACGGATTCTGGAAATGTGCCCGGTATATGGCAATAGGCTCACCCCCTATTACATGGGACTCATAACATAAATAGTGAAAAGTGGGTGTTACATTGTACAGTGGCATTAAGTGCCGTAATGTGCACCTCTGCCTACTCCTTCGGGATAAAAAGGCCAATGTATGTAATGTAACACCCACTTTTCATTATATATCTAATATGTTATGAGTTGCATGTAATAAGGGGTGAGCCTATTGCCATATACCGGGCACAATTCCAGACTGCGTGCTACTACTGAGATTATTTTAAAACCTACTATTGCTTTGCCCGACTTGGGAATTGAACCCGATACCCCTTGCCCGGCAGTCGCACTTGCAACCACTCGGCCAACGAGGTAGTCTATGGAGTTTTTGTATAGTTTAAAGTCTTATGAATTGTAGTTGAATTTCAGTAATCAACCACTATGATTTCGGGATGTTTTGTGTTGTATTTTGGATTGTACCTACTTAAATTTTTTTTTCAGGTGTACCGGCATTCTACAACTGCTAGATATGCGCTTTTTGACACTCAGCTCGGGTTCGTATTTTATGTACCTACATATATTTAAGAATTACATAAAATAAAGAATTAGAACAAGTGCGACTGCCGGGCAAGGGGTCTCGGGTTCGATTCCCGGGTCGGGCAAAGTATTACTGGGTTTTTAAAAATCTCAGTAGTAGCACGGAGTCTGGAAATGTGCCCGGTATATGGCAATAGGCTCACCCCCTATTACATGGGACTCTTAACATAAATAGTGAAAAGTGGGTGTTACATTGTACAGTGGCATTATGTGCCGTAATGTGTATCTCTGCCTACAAAAAAATAAAAAAATAAAAAGCGTGATGGCAGCATAAAAGGCGTGATGTTATTCTATATTTAAGAATTACTAAAAAACGTACTACTTAGTATACCCATTTATCAATTGAGCGGCATGAGTAAGTTACTGGTCAGGGCCGTAATACGAATTTAAAGAGCCCCAGGCCCCTGGGCTAACATCCAGTCTTTCTGCTTTTACCAAATTCTGTGGAGGAAGGGGTGTCAGCCTCGTTACCTCGTTCGTCGAGTGGTTACATAATATTGTGCAAATACCGTGTGGTACCTTAGTGGTCTGGGGTTGGATTTCACGATCCAGCAAAATATTATTGTTTATTTTTCCTTTTTTCGAAAATTTTACAGTAATAATAGAATGGGACCTGTGGTAAATAAGTCAAAGTCAAAGTCAAAATCATTTATTTCAATTACACCAGGATGGCACTTTTGAACGTCAAACAACAAAAATTTAGAAGTGAAGCTAGTTGCTCATTCCAAGGTGTAGATTCCTATGGAGAAGAACGAGCAAGAAACTCCATAGGTTACTCTTTTTCAATCAGGTTTACAATACAATTCTCTAGTTATATAGTTTTATTGGTTCGATTGTGTGAGAACAATGCAACACCTAAATCCAGTCAAAGAGATTACAGTTATTCTATCGATGGGTCTTAATTTTATTTATAGAAGTTTCGCTTAAGAATACTTTACGGTGGAGGTGGGTCTGGTTATGTGGGACTCATAGCTATATTTGTAATCCGGCCCTTGATTTTTATGGTACATACTTTCGATTACAGACGAACGATTCAGGTGGGCAATAATCAGCGCCTGCAGCTTTGTATCTTCGGTGGCAATCAGCACGCCCTGGCCTACGTGTACGCCAACAATCTGTACTATCTACCCAACAGCAACGCACAGCCCATTGCTATCACCAACGACGGAATAGAGGGCGTTGTCTACAATGGACATACCGACTGGGTGTATGAAGGTATGTTAGTAAAACTACGGTACTAGTACTGCCACCGGCTTCGCCCGCGTATCCTTAGGTTAAAAAGCCCATGTGTTATTCCATACAACAATCTACCTCTATTCCAAATTCTATCCCTATCTCTTCAGCCGTTTTGTTCGACATGATTAATTAAGCATTTGACTGTCGACAGAAAACTGTTGAAGGTAAATCCTCTGCTAACGTAGGCCACCGGTGGCATACGTTGCGGTTGATGGGTTAAGAATGATACACACAAATTTTCGCATTAATATTTTTAGTAAGGTAATGTCTGTGTTTATTGCAGAGGATGTCATGTACACCGGTCAGGCGACTTGGTTTTCCACCGCCGGCTCGTACCTGGCATTTGCGACATTCGACGACAGTAACGTGGAGGACTACTCTTACTATTACTACACCGATAGTGACAATAATGGCACAGAGTTCCTTTACCCAAAACTCTTCGACCTCAGGTACCCCAAGGTAATTTTAGAAAATTAGCTACTCAATTAGTCGCGCAGTTTTACCTGCTGCTTGACTTCTATTGGTCGTAGCGCGATGTATGAATGAAAAAAATAATGTAAGATTTTTTCTTAGTCACAAATAGTCCGCATACCAATTTTTAGCTTTCTACCTTGAATGTTATAATAATAATAATAATTGGTGGAGGGTTCAAAAGAGATAAAAAGTAGCCTATGTCACCCCACCCCTTTTACCATCCGAACTTAAAAGTCACGTCAATTCGTCATTCCGATTTGCCGGGAAAGACGGACAAATACACAGACGCACACTTTTATATTTATAATATTAGTGTGGATGGATACATTATTAATTTTCTAAATTCTTGTTTTACCATCATGATGGTAAATTATTAGGGATTTTATTGATATGTTCTGGGCCAGTAAATGAGCCTAACGCAACCAGATCATCCCCTTTCTTCGCACTCCATAATAGACCTCATTTGCGATGTTTAGAGACTACTTTTGTATGAACAAGTTTGGTTTGAATTTAAACATTTAAAATTTAATAGATAATAATAATATTTATTTACAGGTGGACCAAGAGAACCCTACAGTGAAACTTCGCGTGGTGAACTTAGCCCAGCTAGTGGCTAACCCTACCAACCCCAGTTTCATCATTATGAATGCTCCGGTGGCCGTGTCTGCCGACCATATACTGGGCGGCGTCACGTGGATCACAGACAATGAGATCGCTATGCATTGGATGAACAGGCGACAAAACTATTCTGTGCTACAGATCTGCAACATCGTCACCAACGATTGTGAGGTACGATTAACTATTAAAAAATAGCGATGATGACAGGGAATGAAAATTTAAAATCTAATTAGTCCATCAATTAGGTAATGAGAAAATATTAAACACTTATTTTTTTATTTTATCGTATAAGAAAATGATACTTAAATATATCGAATCAAAGTTTAGGAGTGTGGGTTAAAACGTCATTTCTACGTAGAAAATGTACATAGACGTGACGTCACGAGACATTTCAAATCAGTATATTGTCGAAAGTATTCGTGTATAATGTTTTAAAATAATCTACCAGTCGGATATTAAAATAAAAATTAGTCATCTACCCTATTGTATGTACCTAATCGATTTTTATTTGGGACCAACTGTTGCCCGCGACTTCGTCCGCGTAGAACTCATATTCTCTAAGAGTGTTTGGACATTACGTTTTCTTTTTGTTTCAATATTCCAAAATAAAAAAGCATATATACGCTCGAATTGGGAACCTCTTCCTTTTTTGAAGTCGGTTAAGAATAGCCTATGTTACTCTTTAGAACATCAGATACCTGCCAGTAAAAGTCCCGTCTAAATCGGTCCAGCCATTTCAGAGATTAGCCAGTACAAACAGGCAGATAGACAGATAGACAGACAAAATGATTTTTTTTTATTTTGGTATAGGTATCGTATTCCCATGTTGTAAAAAGCGGTTATTTTAGGTAATATTACGAACAGACATTTCAATTTTATTTACCTACCTGTATAGAACAATGCTGTGACTTGTTTTTCTAGAGCTGTATAAATATTGATTGAGTTATCTAAACCTAAACGATAAACTTCACATTTAACATTATACTTACCTAAGTCCAATTTGTATTTGGAAAATCAGAGTTATTAATTACCCTTCCCAAATAAACGTGAGTAAGTACCAATTAATTACCAGTAGCCGAAAGATGTCCACTGCTGAAAAATCCTCCTTAGTTCGCTATGTCAAACGACAATTCGCCATATATACTTACGAAAATAATATTTTTATAGGAGGAGCATAGAGAGGAACCGAAAGGTTGGATCCCCTTGGCATTGCCTCGGTTCAGTAAAGATGGATCTTTCTACGTATCGACGCGCTGGTCACGCCCCCAGGCGGACGGCGTAATCTGGCAACATTTGTTCCTCAGCTTGAGGGTCGGCGGAAACATAATCTCCACCTCCATCTCCCCTGGAGCATCCACCGTCAATAATTTCATCGGAATGGATGACGCACGTTTGGCTTTGTGAGTATTTACTGGAGTATTTAGTTATTAACTAAAAATCGCGAGTTACTCACGTGAATATACTGAGAAAAGCTCTACTAGTTTCGAACCACAGAGGGGTCCTTCCTCATGAGCAGCGTGCGCGGTCGCGGCGATGTCGCGCAGCCTACTCGAGCTTACTAGAGCTTTTTTCAGTATTTTCACGTGAGTAACCCGCGATTTTCAGATAATTTAGTATGTCTCACGATAGTTATTTAGTTATTATTACTAAGTGCACGTGTTTTTTGTCGTCTTCGAATGTATCTCCCACTTGCAACACCGGAGGCGTTGCAAGTGTGTTACCGGCCTTTTGGGATTAAGAATTTGAGGATTGTTGAGGATTCAGGGATTGAGGAAGGGGGGAGGGTGGCTGTAATTGGGCCTCCGGTAACCTCACTGTCGGTTTTCTGTGAGGCCGTGGTATCACTCCGGTCGAGCTGGCTCATTCGTGCCGAAGCATGGCTCTCCCAAACTTAATACCTATATTTACCGAAATACTCAATACCCAATTTAATTTAAATATGTTTGTTCCAGTTACTACACGCGCACGATGCCAAACATGCCGTGGCAGTCAGAAGTATGCGTAGCTGGAGCGGACGACCGATGCTTCAGTAAAGAACTGGTGCTGCCTGACGGGGGCCCGTGCACCTGGGCCACTGCCACCCTCAGCCAGGGAGGATCATACATGACCATCACCTGCTCTTCCCCTGAAGAACCTTCTGCCACTTACATTATTGATCTTTACGTACGTATCTTTTTTACTGGTACTGCCGCGCGGTTTCACCCGCTCTGCTCGGCTCCTATTGATCGCAGCGTGATGTTTTATAGCCTTTAGCCTTCCTCGAGAAATGTACTCTTCAACACAAAGATGATTTTTACCGGTTTTGGTTTTCGGGCCAGTAGTTACTGAGTCTAGCGCGTTTAAACAAACTAACGAACTAACAAGCCAATAAACCAACAAACTAACGTTACTGTAAGCTTGGGGATTGGGGAATAGAAATTCGGGGAGCTTGGAGGTTCATTATAGTCTTTCTTATCATAAATGTATCCTTTTTCCATCTACACACCAACGCTGGTGACACTCCACTGGACTTTTTGCTTCGTCTGCCTCTGAGGAGTTTTCCATGGACTCCATGCTTGACAAGTGGAATCGTAGTTTAAAAGGATCAGGGTTACCAGAGAGCGCTACTAATGGCTTTTTATGAAAAAAAAACGTTGCCCCACGCTAGAATATTCTCCTGTGTCGTGTGTGCGTTTACAAACATTCAAGTTCACATACACATGACACCCAGATACGGAAAAACAATTTGTGGATCACACAAAGAGTTGCTCCGTGTGGAAATCGAATTCGCAACACGTTGCGCGGAGGCCGGTTGCCCAGTCGCCGCGCCAACCTTTTACACCCACGAATAGAGTAGGGCTGATAGGTACCTAACTTATGTATTCTACTCTGTAATGACCACATGGCACAATGCCTGTCTGCGCGTACCTACCTAACAATAGTTTTTAAAGAATTTACATCTGAGTATTTGGCGTCATTATTGTATAAAGATTTGATTATAATGACGTCTTGCGCATACGCAGGTTATGCGTAACAGTAAATGACGGTTCACGGTTACGGTTCATTAATTTAGTTTAATAACCATACTTATGTATTATTTGAAATTAAAATATTATGTAAAATCGATACAGTTCTTGCATTAAAGATTGATAAATATCCATTATACATATATTCTTACTGACATTCAGTAAGAATATTAACGAATTATAATAATAATTTAGATTTACGGTAGGCCCTCTCTCCCTATCCTACCCTTCTCCCCTCCCCCAACTCCCAAATTAAATCTCTTGAATCCGTAACCCCCAAACGCCATCATATTTGACGTCCGATAGTTACCCATACCATATGACTGCACGGTTGGTGCGGTGGCTGGGCAACCGGCTGCCGTGCAACGTGTCGCGGGTTCGATTCCCGCACGGAACAACACTTTGTGTGATCCACGAATTGTTGTTTCGGGTCTGGGTGTCATTGTGTTTTTGAACTTGTATGTTTGTAAACGCACCCACGACACAGGAGATAATCCTAGTGTGGGGCAACGTTTTTTTTTTAAAAAAAAATATAAAAAATTAAAAATAAAAGAGATACACATCTATACTGCCTCGTTGACCGAGTGGTCGCAAGTGCGGCCGCCGGGCTAGGGGGTCTCGGGCTCGGGTTTGATTCTCGGGTTGGGCAAAGTACTACTGAGTTTAAAAAAAGCATACGGTCGAATTGAGAACCTCCTCCTTTTTTTGAAGTCGGTTAAAAATTACAGTGGGAGTACGGAGTCCGGAATTGTGCCCGGTATATATATGGTAATAGGTTCACCCCCTATTACAAGGGACTCATAACATAAATAGGCAAAAGTGGGTGTTACATTGCACAGTGGCATTAAGTGCCGTAATGTGCACCTCTGCCTACCCCTTGAGGATAAAATGCGTGATGTTATGCTATGTGTTATAAACACCTATACTGTAAAATGGGGTGAATAGGGATCGAGAGGTGAATAAGGAGAGAAGAGGCGTGAATAGATATAAGGAAATTCTTCATAGTATCGATTCACCCCTGTTCTGTCCTTTTTCGCCGCTCAAACCCTATTCACCCCATTTCACCGTAATCATATCTGTGGGACTATTAAAAGTTTATGATGTTAAATTTAATACGTGTGTATGTGTGTATAATTTTCAGGACAGTAGAAAGGCTCCTGTACTTTGGGAGGCAAACAACATCGTTCGCCAGCGTTTGGTGGGCAAGGCTAGGTGGAGCAGCATCATCACGACCGTTCCTCTAGAGAACGGGTTCCCAGCCCCTGTCAGACTACTCCTGCCCCCTGGACTGGACGTCAACGACGCCACCACTAAATATCCCGTCGTATTCTATGTGTATTCCGGACCTAATACCAATACTGTGTTCAATACCTTCACTGTTGGTAAGTGTTGTTTCAGTTATGATCATTCATAAGGCTCTGTACCTATTTTAAATAACTTTTATATTAGTATATTATTTTTTTTAAAGTCCACAGATTCGCTCGTTGTGAAACAATAATTATCATTTTACTTTTCATAAGTAGTCGAAATTAATTTATTGATCTACATGTTACATTAACCACTAAGGTTTGTTTGTATACTAGTAGTAGTTTAGTGTAGTTTGAACGAATTTTTGTTGAGGTTTTCAATTCTAAATTCTAAATCAAGATATAACTGGTTAGAAATTAAATGACTGCATTCCACTGGTTGAACACGGAGGCCTGGTGGCGGATTTAGCTTCCGCACAAGGAGCAATTCTTTATATTGTGATCGACAAATTGTTATTTTTGACTTTGGTTCGACATGTAAATCAAAATTTTTTTATATTATCTTTTGATTCAGTTCGGGAACCAAGACAGTTATTCATGTCATTCCGGTGTTTTCATGGTTGTATTGTAGATCCTGGCTTACAGAAGTTGCAGTGGTTCTGGGAGGTTGTGGCGGGCTTGTTCCATAAAAATGCATATCAATGTATAATATACGTTGCACCCCTGATAAAAAAGAAAATACGTAGAGTATTTTTTTTTACTACATACTATTTAATGAATATATAAACAGCATATTAAACGATACTTTATTTCCCAGGTTACCACGCGTACTTGACTACCAGTCGTAACATCATCTACATGTTGGCTGACGGCCGCGGCTCCGGTCTGAAGGGACAGGACATTCTGTTCTCACTCAACAACGCGCTCGGAACCGTTGAAGTGGAGGACCACTTTGTTATCCTCAGGTAAGACATATGGCGGAATACTGAAACGTTACTCAATTTTAAGTCGTGCTTAAATATCGTGCCATCTCTGTCATTTTACAAAGAATTAGTGGAGACAGAACTATACTTAAGCGCGACTTAAAATTGAGTAGCGTTTCAGTATTCCGGCATCGAGTTTAGAAATATGTAGATAAAACTAGATTTTGTTGGTAGCTTTTACACGATCTAATCTTTACTATAGGTAACGTTTACTGTATGCAACGGCTGGGTTGCACCGACTTACTTTAACAATAACAAACAAGCAAATTTCTGTTAAAGTATTGGTCAGGTCAAATATATATGTTGCATCAATTGATAAATAGTTAAATGACGTCATAACTTTAGCTGTAACTCTACCTGCTTACTGTTCTCTGGTTAGTGTTAAAGTTAGTGTCAAATATGCATCTGTCAAATTGTCAAACGTGTTGAAGATAACCTCTGAAACTCGGAAGAGCATGTCCCTGTTACAAGAGATACCCACAGAAACCAGTTCAGCAGCTGTAGCCAAATGCCATTTAGCGCTTGTCTACATGTAGAATAGAAAACCAAATTATATGGAATTGACATAAATTTTGACACTTGTCAGCGTCATCCCCATACATTTTGATTTCTACTCTCTCTGTAGACAAGCGCTAAAGTGGCGTTTGGCTACAGGCCCTGAAGACGAAAGAAATTGTCTTGCTTATATAAATAGAAAAAAAAGTATAGGTGCCGAGACCCAATAACATATCAAATTCTAATAGTAGAGGAGGTCACGCTAGTTTCGAAAACTCATTTAGCTACCACTGAAAACTTCATAAGTAGTAGTTCTACCCTTTTTTAAGGATAATTTTGAGCAGTTAGCGTCAGACACTAGATTGGTTGAATAGATAAATTGTAACAGAGAAACAAAGTTACTTTCGTATCAATAATATTAGTTGGATTTAGGATACGCAGTCCTTAAAGACTGGGGTGATCCGATAGGGAACCAAAGTTATCTACATCGCCCAAAGGATTATTAAGCGATGAATGCCGATTATAGTTGATACTAAGTAATAACTCCCGTGGTATACATTTTCTGGAATAGACTCTATACCTAGGTAGCCTGCCCTCCAGTTAGGTGGAGTAATGGTACCTATATTTTCTTGTGAAGTGAAGACAAACCGACTTCAAAAAACCCAAAAAGTAAAACAAACAAAAAGTATATCTGTATAGTACCAGACCTGGTGACAATTGGACCAAGAAGTGTAACCTTTCAATTAATAAAAGAAAAATTTTGAAAATCGGTCTACAAACGGCGGAGTTATCGGTGAACTGAACATACCTACATAAAAAAAAAACAATCATTCGAACATGGAACCTCCTTCTTTTTTGGAGTCGGTAAAAAAGGTAATTTGTGGCTCTGAGGAGAAGAAATTAAATCATAATTTTAGATACTGACTTGAAATTTATACTAACATTCTTATGTAATAAACGATAATATTTGCATCAAAAAATCTAGTTGACACAACGGTTTAACGTCCTCTGACCCACTTGGATAAATTAATAAAAATCTAGACTCAATCAGAATTAATGTTCTTTAAGGCATCTCGTATTTACGTAATGCGGAATTAATTTAGTATTTTTATTATGAATACTGTAATATAGTATGTAGGAAGCTTTCTAATATCTATTCTATTGTGTTGAAAACTAGTTTTTATGTAAAATTCTATTTTTATCAATAAAGGTGTGCCAACATGTTGTGGTGAGAGCATCAAAGAAAGTGGAAGGCATATAAGGAATCTATTTGTTGTCACTGGAACACGTTAGCTTATATTGTCTCGGTATTATTCTGGGAGGGCGCCAATGTGGTTTTTGGCATACGAGAATCGGGTATTTTCCTGGGTCAAAAATAAATTATTTTGATTTTTTAATCCAATTAAATTTTCAAAAATAATTACAATTTTATTCATAATTGACGATATACTTAATTTAGCATTTATTTCAGAAATGAGTGTGCTATTTGATTCGAGAATATGATGACTTCATAAGTTAGTTTTTGGTACAAAATTCATATAGAGAACATTATCGTTTTTGACGTTTCGATAAAAGTATTGAATTTGATTAGATAAAAATACCGTATTTTAGTTGTTAGGAAAATCGGGTAAATAGCAAAAAAGGAACTAATGCTAGTGCGAGTTGTCTTAACAAATATGACGATGATTTACATAATACATACTTACGTACATTAATTTAATGTTAGCTATTTATTGAGTTTTTATTTGAAGATTTTAATAAACCCTGAAGTAGACTAGAATAGTAAAAAGTTTTATGTTTTAATAATTTAACAATATTAATTAATCTTTATAGAAAAGTATTGGACCGGTATCCGTTCATGGACCGCACGAGGGTGGGTATCTGGGGCCACAGTTATGGTGGCTACGCGACCCTCCTCACGATGCTGAAGGATGACGAGAAACTCTTCCAGTGCGGTGTCTCTGGAGCTCCTGTCACCTCCTGGCTGTATTATAGTAAGTAAAAAATTAACTGCTCTGCCTCATTGGCCGAGTGGTCGCAAGTGCGACTGCCGGGCAAGGGGTCTCGGGTTCGATTCCTGGGTCGGGCAAAGTATTACTTGGTTTTTAAAAAAATCTCAGTAGTAGCACGGAGTCTGGAATTGTGCCCGGTATATGGCAATAGGCTCACCCCCTATTACATGGTATTCATAACATAAATAGTGAAAAGTGGGTGTTACATTGTACTTACAGTGGCATAATGTGCACCTCTGCCTACCCCTTCGGGGATAAAAGGCGTGATGTTATGTTATGTGTAAAAAATTAAAAAATATTTTTTAAAACACTATTGAAGCACATATGTTTTTAGCTACTTGGTTCTGAGTACAGATGGAATGATTACGTTTGCTCAAACCTAGAATAACACATGTTATTTTAGACCTGAGAATGTTTTATGATATAGGTGTCCTAAGTTGTAAACACTTTCGCTCCTCATTAGCATACACGTTTGAAAGTAATTCCCTTCTAATATTATAGAATATAGTAAAACTTGATCATTTTATGTAATTAATATTCCTGCTTTCAATCCGATTTGAACCGATGAGATCTAAATCTGTCTTTTTATAGTGTTCAAATTTCTCCTAATTATTTATTCAAAGAATTGTTTGTTTTGATTGTCTTGTGTATGTGTTTATAATTTACAATATAATATTTGTATTTGTATTGTATAGTTACTTGTTTTGTATTTTGTATCTAGTCTTCCTACATATATGAAACGCGAAACCGACAGAAAAAATCCTTACTAATATTATAAATCGGAAAGTGAGTTTGTTTGTTTGTTTGTTCCGCTTTCACGCCGTAACTTCTAAACCGTTTGCTTTGAATTTTTGCAGACGTAAATTTAGAAATCCGGATTAAATAATAGGATACTTTTTATCCCGGAAAAAATGTGATATTCCCGAGGGAAAACAAAAGTATTGGTATAGATGGCGCTGTGTGTATTGGTATGTTATTACGTCACAGGCTACTTTTTTTCTTTTTGTGACGCGAGCGAAGCCGCGGGTAAAAGCTAGTATTAACATAAATTGACAACGTCATTGTTCTCAATATATGCCTAATTTTTATTTAAATGTCCGTATGGTAGATCACTACATAGTATAAAACAGATTCGCTACCCGCCGTCTGTCTGTCCCTATGTATGCTTAGATCTTTAAAACTATGCTGATTCTTAAGGAAGATTTTTATGTATAATACCTCTACATGCACATTGCACCCGTGCGAAGCCGGGCCGGGTCACTAGTTGATTATAAAACATTAGACACGTATTTATTATTTTCTTACAGAAACGAATACTTTCTATGGTATATTGATTTGAAACGTCGCGTGACGTCACTTCTATGTACAATTTATATGTAGAAATGACGTTTTAGCTCCCACTTCTAAACTTTGATTCGTTTTACGACAAAACTAATTTTTTTTCATTGTCTAACTTACTGACTAAAAAGATGTTTAATCTTCATACCCCGTCATCATACCTATTGTTCCGCTAGAAACAACACAAAATGTGTTTTTGTCACTACTGTCGGGGGGGTTAGGAATTGAGAAATGGGGATTAGGGACGGGGAGGGATTGACCCTCCAGATTGGGTGTGACATTGTACAGTGGCATTGTACATTTGCACGGTCAAACGCAACGCAAGTTGTTCCTCGCCCAGTTTTTTGTTAGGCCGTGTCTGAAAAAAAAAGTACATAAAACAACATAGCAAATCATCAAGCCTTTATCCCGAAGGGGTTGGCAGAATGCACATTACGGCACTTAATGCCACTGTACAATATCACACCCAATGTTCACTATTTATGTTGTGAGTCCCATGTAATAGGGGGTGAGCCTACTGCCATATAGGTACCGGGCACATATCCAGACTTCGTGCTACTACTGAGAATTTTATGTAAAAACCCAGTAATACTTTGCTCGACCCGGGAATGGAACCGGAGATCACTCATCACATTCGTAAATGCGACCACTCGGTCAACAAGGCAGTCATATGCAATATACATGTTTATTTATGTAGGTATACGTATTATTATGTAGGTATACGTATTATTTTTATATACATAGGTATAGCAATTGACTAAAACTTACTGTTTCACTGCTCAGACACGATGTACACGGAGCGTTACATGGGCCGGCCCAGAGAAGACGACAACCTCGCGGGTTACCAAGCTGGTGACGTCACTCTCTTGGCGGAGAAGCTCCGCGGACATGACTTCTTCATCATGCACGGGAACGCTGATGACAATGTCCACTATCAGAACGCTGCCAAGCTGATCAAGGCTTTACAAGAACTTGATATACCGTTTGAACAGATGGTAAGCTTGTTGGATTTTTTTTTTAAACGTTGCCCCACATTAGTATTTTCTCCTGTGTCGTGGGTGCATTTACAAACATACAAGTTCACATACACAATGACACCCAGACCCGAAACAACAATTTGTGGTTCACACAAAGTGTTGTTCCGTGCGGGAATCGAACCCGCGACACGTTGCACGGCAGCCGGTTGCCCAGCCACCGCACCAACCGTGCAGTCATAAGTCAGGAGTTACTTGTTGGTTTTGTAATAATTCTGCAGCATTATATTTTTTATAATTTTACAATTATATTGCAGCTCTCCCAGACCCATGATGTTATAATGTATAGGTAGTATACTAGATATAGAATATTTTAGCGATATAAAAAAGTAAGTAAATAAGAAGTCACGTAGAAAACAGTGTGACGTCAACGATCTTTGATCTAACGAAAGGGAAATTCGACTGCACGGTTGGCGCGGTAGTTGAGCAACCGGTTGTACACACAACGTGTAGCGGGTTCGATTCCCTCTCGAAGCAACTCTTTGTGTGATCCACAAATTGTTGTTTCAGGTCTTGGTGTCATGTGTATGTGAAATTGTATATTTGTAAACGCACCCATGACACAGGATAAAATCCTAGTGAGGAATGTTTTATTTTTAAATAATATTTGACTTCTATACATCAAAACATGACTATATTATATATATATCCATGGTATTTATTTAACATGTTCATGATTGTGTTCTCTTCTTCTTTCCTTCAGTCATATCCTGATGAAGCTCACAGTCTGTCTGGAGTCAACCTGCACAGATACCACGCAATGGACCGCTACTGGACCCGTTGCTTGAGGCTGCAAGATTGGCACTAATAGCATTAACTAATGTATTACATTACACGTACTTTACTTGTCTACCAATAGAGGCGATTTTCGCGTGCAGTACCGATTAAGTTGTTGATATAGTGCAATTTTGACATAGTGTTATCGATAACTTACTTCATGCAAATATCTGTTATAGAAATTGTTAATTACACAATTATGTATGAAGCAAATAATTTTGTTCCTATATTTGTAATAGTACCTACATTGTAATAGGAATGGTTTGTAAAGATGTTTGTATTTGCACCTGTTGTTCAATTACATAATAAGTTTTTACATTATAACAAACAATAAAACATTTTTTCTCACAATGTACTTACTTTAATTGAATTGATTTCAAATTTCCCCATAATTTTTTTTTCAAAAATTTCTCTGTAGAGGAGTCGAGAAATGTGTCCGAAGTATATACATTTTTATTTTGTGAAATAAGCCGGTAAACGAGCCGACGGATCACCTGATGGTAAGCAATCGTGCCGCCCATGGATACCTGGAACACCAGAGGCGTTACGAGTGCGTTACCGGCCTTTTGGGGACTAGGAATTTGAGAATTAGGGATTCGAGGATTGGGGAGATCAGGAAGGAGGTAATTGGGCCTCCGGTAACCTCACGCACGCACGCGCAAGCGTATATAGACTTCTTTACCACAGTTAACATATAGCTAGTAAATAGTGGTCGTTTAAGTAAAAACGCGGGTTACTCACGTGAATATACTGAGAAAAGCTCTACTAGTTTCGAACCACACTGAGGGTGAGCTGCGCGACGTCGCCGCGACCGCGCACGCTGCTCACGAGGAAGAACCCCTCTGTGGTTCGAAACTAGTAGAGCTTTTCTCAGTATATTGTGAAACAAGTGAAACAAGTGAAACAAGTGAATTTATTTCTGCAAATAGGCTACAAGGCAGCACTTTTACACGTCAATTTTATCAAGCGAACGATGAGGTCGACATTTCCTAACTGACTACTCTGAGAAGAAATGCCGAAACAAACTCAGAGGTCTGTCTCTTTTAAAGTCCAGACAATATGTATAATAGATTATGTGTGAGAACCGTGCAAGTTCTTTCTGTAGTGGCCTTTTGAGGAAAGAACCACAACAGTTTGAGCGGACCCGTTCTGAAGGCAGTACGCATGTGTCGGTTTACAGTCGGCTCAATTAACAGGTGAGGCTGACTGATTCGACGAACAATACCAACCTAAAGAACATTTGCGTGGGTCGCACAAATACTCAAACTGTCAGAATATGGGTAATTAGAAAAGAAATGGTGAGGCAAAGTCTCGCACGGTCCTAGCACTAACAATTGTATAGGAAAAAGCAAATGTCAAGTTAGAACAATATATGAAAAACAATGTCAAGAAATGTAACTATATGTTACAAACATGTCAACATGACCTGTGTGGACGTTACAGCAGCTTATTCCCAAGCCAGACTATCATCTAGGTAGTCTTTAATTTTATAAAAAGCTTTACTATAAAATTTATCTTTAATGACATTTTTAAATTTATTTAGACTCAAATTTTGGATATGGCTGGGAATTTTATTGTAAAAGCGTATACTCTGACATCTAAACGAACCACTTATTTTCTTTAGTCTAGTAGTGGGAACAACATATTTGTCTTTATTTCTCGTGTTGATATTATGTATATCACTATGCTTTTTAAATAAATTTTTGTTTTTATGAGCATATACTACATTTTCATAAATGTATTGAGAGGCAACAGTCATTATATTAATTTCTTTAAATAGTTCCCTGAGAGAGTACCTCGGACTAAGATTATAAATTGATCGAATGGCCCTCTTCTGCAGAACAAAGATAGATTGAATGTCAGCAGCATTCCCCCATAGGAGAATACCATATGACATGACACTATGAAAATAACTAAAGTATACTAATCGCGCTGTATCTACATCGGTTAACTTTCTAATTTTTTTAACGGCATATGCTGCAGAACTGAGCCTTTTCGATAACTTATCTATATGTGGAGCCCACTGGAGCTTAGCGTCTAGGGTTATACCAAAAAGACAGTAGAATCTACAGGGCTCAACTCCTCACCCTTAATGAGCACGCTGGTTTTAACATGTCCAACATTTGGTGTTGTAAATTTAATGCATTTAGTTTTAGTTCCATTTAGTAATAGGTTGTTGGCACTAAACCAGCGTACTATTTCCGAGAGAGCATTGTTCACATTATCAATGACTAATTGTCTACGTTTAAGTTTAAATAATAACGAAGTATCATCCGCAAACAGTACTATCCCGTGTTTATCCCGTACGAGGTAAGGTAAGTCATTTATATATATAAGAAACAAAAAGGGCCGAGAATTGACCCCTGCGGAACCCCCATCCTGACAACAGACCCGGCGGAGACTTTTCCGTTTATCTCGACTCTCTGAATCCTGTTACTCAAGTATGAGGTAAGAAGATCCAGAGATTTACCTCTTATTCCATAATGGGATAGCTTCCTGATCAATGTGTCATGAAGGACACAATCGAACGCCTTGGATAAGTCACAAAAAATGCCCAAAGCATCGCTTGAGTCCTCCCAAGCGTCATATACGTGATTAAGAAGTTCAACACCGGCATCAGTTGTTGAACGACCCCTGGTAAAACCAAACTGGTTAGCATGTAACAATTTATTTCTATTAAAAAATCTTTGCATTTGATTTAGAATATTTTTTTCAAAAATTTTACTAAATGAAGGTAGTACTGAAATAGGTCTAAAGTTAGTGGGGTCAGAAGTACTACCTGATTTAAATAACGGTGTTGTTTTACTATTTTTCATAAGATCAGGAAACACACCACGGTCGATACAATTATTAAAAATTAGAGCTAATAGAGGTGCTATAATAGCTATAACAGAGCTGACAATGTACACAGAATTACCCCACAAATCTGCAGTCTTTTTCTTATTTAAGGTATGGAAGGTTTTGACAATATCTGTGTAATCTATGTGTTCAAAAGAGAACCCTTTGCTGCAAGCTATAACATTTTCTTTTAGTAAAGATTCTGCAACAGTGGGAGAGGAATTCAATGACTTAGTCGTGGATATAGGAATGTCCGAAAAGAAACTTTCAAATGCAGCTGCAACTTCTGCGTCTGATTTTATTACATTATTATCAATTAGAAGACTATATTCATTACTTCTCTTTTTGGACCTTCCCGTCTCACTGTTAATAATACTCCAGGTCGCTCTGATGACATTGGTACTGTTCTTTATTTTGGAGCTCAAGTACCGCGACTTTGCAATAGCGCAGACCTTTTTAAACAATTTAGAATATGTTCTAACATATACATTAAATTCGATTGTGTTAATAAATGTCCTCTCACTATATAGTTCATAGAGACGTTTCCTACTTTTATAGATGCCAGTGGTTGCCCATTCATTGAAAGATACGTTGTTATTAACTGGTATAGTTTTAGGTGTAAAGGTAGATTTAAACTCGGTATAGTACATATTTAAAAAATCATCATACAAATTATTAGGATTTTTATTCATCAACAAAGGTAATTTTTGAGTGACTTTAGACTTGAAGATTTCAATGCGTCTTTCAGTCTTTGGGTTAACAGTGATAAATGGTTTAGACATTGTATTTACATGATTTGTTATTGAAATTAACTGTCCGCAATGATCTGAATCAAGCAATGATATAATTTGTTTCTTAATTGGTACAATGTCAGTATAAATATTATCCAGGCAAGTGGCACTAGTGGGAGTTATCCTAGTGGGCTCCAGAAATAAGTTCGTAAGGTTAAATGAGGCAAATAATCTTACAATTTTAGTGCTTAGACTAGAATTTTCTAACAAATTTACATTAAAATCGCCACAGGTAATGATGAATTTATTTGAACTACTGAGTTTATTTAATACTTCATCTATTACTGTTTCAAAACAGTCATACAAACCAGAAGGTGGTCTATACACACTTAAAACAATAAACCGCTCTAATTCCACACAAGCTATTTCAACAGTGCGTTCAACAGAGTAACTAACTATATCCTTGCGTTCTTTAAATTTAAGTTTGTTATTTATTAATATTAGTGAGCCACCATGTATAGCGTTCTCCCTGCTGAACGAGCTACCAATCTGGTGATTACCAAAATTGAACATTAGCTGATGAGATTTCAACCAATGCTCAGTAATACACAAAATGTCAACATTATTACAATTCAAAAATAACTCTATTTCTAGTTCCTTGCTCATAAAACCTTGAATATTTTGGTGAACCAGACTGATAACACTACTGTTTGATTTGCAAGAGGTTCCCTCTATTGTCTTACTTTTTAATTTAAACTGTCAAACACCAAGCGGTCACCGGTGACCGCGACCTATTGTTCTTTAATTGTGTCTATAAAACCGGTACTCGACGAGTTAAATTATTATAAATGTCAATATTTATTGAATTATTGTTAATAATGTCAATATTTGAAAGTTGCTCAATAGGAGCAACCTGTTTAGCCAAGTTCTTGGCTGTAATATTTAAAAAATATGATAGCGACACCGCTATTTGTCTTATATAATATTTTGAAAGATAGTAGGTACCTATCTTTAGTCATATATAAATTTTTGCCAACTAAATTGTTGGTGTCCATTACATGTATATTGCTATTATTACACAAATTATACATAGCAATATTTAATTTAAATCTTAAATTGTTTTCTTCCTGTGGCAAGCTATTACTATAAGGTAATGTAAACAAAATTATCTGCTTTATTTTAAGCTCTGTAAGTGAATTATAAAACTGCAATAATTTTTTTTTATTTAAACTACCTCTATTTCCACAAATAATTATGAGGGTAGAATCTTGTTTGAAACTATAATTGATAATTTTTTCCAAAATATTATTAAAAGAATATCCGGGCATACAGTGATTCATTATTGATTGTCCAGGGTAACTATTTGTCAGTAAAGAACCTAAGTTCTTCCCAATCTCATCACTGAAGATTACAATGTTATTGTTGTTATTATTACTACTATTGTTACACTGGCTAGGAATCA